TTTCCAGGACCCTGTATCACATAAAGGATGAAGTGCTACCACAGTTTTTTTCCTTCCAGTAAACAGTTTAAAATGTGTGTTATTAAAGGCCACCCAGCTTCCTCTGCGTTCATATCATTTTACAGAACTCCTGCCATCCTTCATTCCCTTATCCAGCTAAGTGCTGAGCAACAATGGACAAACAAAGTCTAAACTAGCATTACCACCACCCTGGGGATAACACTGAATAAGAGTTATGCAGTATGATCTGATAATAGCTGGCTTCAAGAGCTAAGAAGAAAGGGGGGGAAAAGCTTGTAAAGGGGCTATATTTGAAATTGAAATTTTAAATCAAATGTGCAACTGGACACACATTTTGAGAATTGTTCTTTTGGCTATAAGGTGATGAAGGTGATGAAGGTGATGTGAATAGGTTCTCTGATACACGAGGTACATGTAAATATTGTATGAAAAATAGCTGTGTATTATCATACAAGGACGAAGAATAAGGATCTTATTTTACCAAGAGAAGCCTTCCACACCTGGTTAATAGACCAGCTCACAGCTTAAGAAAAATAACAAAAGCATTTCCTGTATTAATCTCACTAACTCCTTCTGGTTGTGATTTTCCTGCTGTCTTAAAATACATGCACAGGACAAGTGAGCATGACTCTAGCCCACAGCCTGGCCCTAACAAAGGACATAAAGCCACTTCTAAAGATCTGTGAGGAGAGGACTAGAGAAGGATATCAAAGGGAGACGCTGGGAGAGATGAAGTATTTCCAATAGAAATATAGTATCTCAAGGACGAAGAGATGCACCATTTGAAAGGCCAAATTTTCACATTGTTGACGAAATGTCTTGCACTTTTGAAGGCATTTGAATGCATGGTGGCTTCAAATGACTCACAGGTACACTTTTAATTTAAAAATTTGTAATAAAAAACAAAAGGAAACCATAATTTAATGGAAAACCTAACACTATAAAAATTAAACTTGGCATTTTTAAAAGCAAGTATGATTTTAAGGAAATATTAGGTCATTATGTAAGAAGATTGTGAGCTAGTGACTAAGGAACATATAATATTATCCTACCTTACCCTCAGAATATTTTTTCACTGTTAAATTGTAACATCTGAACTGTTGGTAGTTTAGCATTCACTAGTTCCCTTTAAAAAAAATATTGCTTCAAGCCAGTATTCTGATTTTTCTTTCCAATGAAGTATACAGCTAAGATGACACAGAGCTCTAATATCTAAGGATAAATTGTTAACTTTTATTTTTATTTAAATAATGCCAGTCAAATGGCCTCACTGAAAGAATAAAAAATGAGAGGGTGACAAGTTGTGGGGATGATGGGGTGACAGAAGATAGACTCTGCAGGATGGTCTAGCAAATGACCATTTGAGAAAGAGAGAGCATTCCTCCAGAGAATGGCAACTATGTAACTTCATTTCCTGAAACATAGCAAGTTATCCTTATAAGTACATGTGATAAATATTGCAAGGCTCTGTTTTGACTCTAGCAGCATTTCCCTGCCCCCAACATTCCCATTTATGTGCTCAAAGACATTAGCTTCTACATTACGAAAGCTGGAAGCCATCAGATGCTATATTACTCCAAACATCAAAGGGAGCTAACACGTAGCTAAGTTTAGTAGCTATATAAATCCAGTATATCCCTGTAGAGAGCAAGGAGGTCAAGTTCACATCCACAATTATCGCAGGGCTTTGCACTCACGTCAGAGTCCAGCTATGTTAGTGAAGAAAAGCTGCTCAACCACAGAAGTATTCCTAGGGTTTCAGCCATAAGAACGGCCAAAGACATATGCAATATAAATCCTTTCCTAATTGGCTGCTCCTGAAAATCAATGCAGGGACTACAAATCCCAGAGTCAGCCCTCTCAGTGTGGGTCATACAGTTATAAGACTTCAGAGTTCAACAGTAGGGGCTAGCCTGGTAGAACATGAAGGGTAACTTGTGCTGGGCTTGGATTTAGGTAGGATATGGCCATAAGCACAGATACAGCAGGAGAAGCTAAAATAGGAGCAGCTGAGGTTAGAACTAGAAGGTGAAGCTGGTTTTGCCAAAGAAGAGCAGATTGGTTTACTTTGTTACTAATCAAAAGTTAAGGTGACTTTTCTGAAATTTGTTTGGAGGCTTGGAATCTAAAGTTCTGCTTTTCCATGTAAGCATGTCTTCCAGCCTTAAATTAGATGTGTCGTGTTTTGTAAGGAAATGAAACTCAATGGAATCTTTCGCGGTTTAAATTTCTTTTCTCAAATAGGGATAAGTTGATATGTTTCTATTGCTAAACATTCAAGAACTTAAAAGCTGAAAGATGGAACTATTTTCATATCATACTTTGGTGCATGAAATGCCTTTATATACAAACTTTCCCAAATTTCCTTTCCAGCTAAGGTTCATAATTTAGTTTTGATCCAAGAAAACCAGATGCTTTCGTGAGAACAGCTTCCTTATTTGAAGGCCATGAAAATCACAAATTTTCTGTTTTGTTTTGTTTTAAATTGAGAGAAAATACTGGAACAGTTTGTTTGGGGGTGTAAGACTCTTGGAAAATTACTCAAAGATCATTCACATTCTTGGCTACCATAGGATGTATCGTTGCATTTTACAGTAAGCACAACTCCTGAGTAAAACAATTGAGGTATTTATCCCTTCCTAAAAAAAGAGTGTGCTATGTAAATGTGCCATCACATTATATGTAAGAGTTTGGTCCTGTTTTTAACATGATGTGTTATCTAACTATAAAATTCAATACAGATTAGAGAAAATGTAACAATTACTGTGGCTCTAAATGTACTTTGCATACCACTGAACTGAGATTCAAAATGAAAAAAATGCATTTACCATACTTGAAAGGAGAAAAATAGGTTCATTTTCTTTGTTAAGTAGGTAGGCATTTTTTATACATGTAAACTTTAAATGCGGTATGCATAAGATTTTATTAAGCTATAGATTATAGCTCTTTATTAGTAAAAATAGGTAACTAAACTATAACAATGAGAAAAGTTAGTGGTTCTGGGAAACTGGGTGCATAAAATGTTATATAACCAATTGGTTTTCAACCTTCCAGTCAGACACTAGTCAAAGAAATAATATGACCTTAGCCAATGGGAAAAACATCAAGCCAGAATTCTCCCAGCTGTGTTTCTCTCCCTGTAGCCTTCAGCAACTTCAATGGAAGTTCAGTGTGTTTAGGGAGAAAGATGGCCAGAAGAATCAAAATTATTAAACCAAAAAGGTCAGCCTTCAAATTAAGTCTTGGATCAAGCGTACTGCAGAATAAGGCTTATCCTTCCCAATGTCCCAGTACTACAAGCAATATGGTGGACCAGCAACTATTCAAACAGGGCTAATATCACATGTAATTGAGGCTATCCTACCAAAGGGGTGCATAAAGGAAAGAAGTTGTTGGCTTTAAAATGCACAAATCAGTGACTAATGTTTCCTTAGCATTCTTTTTGATTTCCAACTCAAGGGAATGTTAATTGCAAGAGATAGGAAAAATCCTCAGAGGAGACAGGTCCCTGGAATTATTTCTACATAAACAGAAGGCCAAAGAATTTTGACAAAATTGTTGTTCACAAAAAGTTGACTTTGCCTTTGAAGTTCTTGTGTGTTCTATAGAAGTCAGACACCTTCATTCATCCAACAGTAGCACAGGGCCTTCAATAACATGATATAATGGCTTTTTTTAGATTTCGAAAGTTCCTTCATAAGATTCCTCTCCATTCTGTTATAAAATCACCGGCCAATATGTTTTCAAGGATTTCCCATGTAAATAATTTGAGTTAATTTACATTTTCAGGTCTAATTGGTTTGGTGCAATTTTTTTTTAATGACCACAGGTGCAATGGTTTAGATCAGTTCTTATAGAAGGGAACAGACTGCATGAAGGCCCTACTAATACACAAAAGTTTTTTAACTCATATTTGTCCTCAGGATTTAAATGAAATCTGTTGTTTTTCCCTTGTATTTTCTTCCCTGGTGCTTATTTAGGTCCAGGGAGATAAAATAGTTTGATGTTGGTCAAACCATCAAAGGTAATAAATTCTCAATACCCTAAATATTACCTCAGAGTAATACAGATTATATGGATCACCAGGACTGTGAGTCACACCACACAGGATACTCCCAATAAGACCTCATAATGCTCCTTAGTATATTGCATTGCTCTAAGAATTCCTAAAGTTAGATAAAATAAAACCAAATCTGTTTAATGTTGTCTAATCCCAAATTTCTCCAGCTAGACTAATAAAATCACTCCGATTTTCATGTAATTCCTAACGCTAAACAAATTTTGCGACATGCACAACTGTTTTAGAATTTCATTTTTTTCCTCTTGGCACAATGACTGGCATATAGTAGGAACTCAATACAAGATTTTTGAAATGCATAAATGATGAAAGTGCATCTCTCAGAGGTTACATAGCTCGTGTTATGCAATTTTTGGATAGGAGATATCTCCATGTCCTACAGGAAGAGCTGCATTTGAGTTTGTGGAAAAGACTGCCATTTTTTTTCTTCTTTAGTACCATCAAATATGGTAAGTTAGGAAAACATATCTGGAGCAGAAGCATCTTTATGAAATGTGAGAACTCTAACGAACAAGTGTACTTTAACAAACACAAAATGGAATGCATATTACAAAGGTACTGGTTTACTGTCCTTGACTGTGCAGAATCCATGACTCAGCAGGATTCAGTTCCTGAAAGTTTACTATTACTTAGCATTTAATACAAATCTTTCTCCACTAGGAGATCAGTATGTAAACACTTTGATGAAAAAAGTTGGGATGGTAGAAGCAGACAGTACCAAATTATACAAGATTATATATAAATCTCATGGACAAAGGAGTTTGGTGCTATGATTTTAGTAACAGTAAACCAAAGCTGGTTCAGGGTATAACTGAAGTGATCACAGTAGGATATTTGGCCACAAAAAGACAAATAAATAAATTGTGCTATGAATTTTTTACAGTGCTCTACAGTTCAAATATCATTTATGAATTCTTTATTGCTATTAAAAATGGATGATTGGAAATAATTTTCAGTTACTGTATGTAGTTGCAGACTGCTGAGATGACAGATATAAAAATCCTGAGCATTTATAAAGTGGGCTGTCTAACGTTATGTACGCACATCTCCATGACATGTTATAACACATGATAATTTATTAGGGAGAAAGCATTTTTTCAAAAAATCAACTGCATATAAATGCTCCCTGAATATAAAGTGCTGGCAACTTTTGCCTCAAGGGAAATTCATTTTCCTTCTTTTTAGCCAGTGATTTTTGAAAGGCCTCAATTAGAAATCCAAATTTTGGTTGGGCAAGTGTGACTGACCACACTTGCAAAGGGAAAATACAAAGTGAAAAAAATATCATTCTTTCTGTGCTAGTATAAGTTGCAAATAAATTAGCTGTGCATCACTCATGAGCTGATATTATTTGGATTGGTTTAACTTATTCACAAGGACCAACAGTATTGTCACTTTTGTCAATGTTTGGCAATACCAGAGAGCCAAAGTGGCAGGTATGTCTGTTAGATAATCTGGGCCAAATTTATAAGAATAGAGACGTTATTATCTGTAAAACACTCTTGTAAAATAACAAATTACGTTTGCTTTTTTAGTTCTCATATTCCTCTTTTTTGGGTTGTGAACTTGTTTCATTCATTGTGGCATCTTCCTTGATTGAAGCTGAATCTGGAGCAACAGTTCTCTTGGTAAATGCTGGCAAGGTAAGAAGAAAGAGAAAAATAAACCTAGGTGAATGTATTTGAACGTAGTTAATGTATCATGGTATTTGATCTAATTTTCTATAATTAAACTTTACATGGACTAACAGACCTTCAACCTAAGAATAAATATACTCTATTTATGGCATTTTCAAAAACACAAGATTTAAATGTCTCTTTTATTTGAAGAATACCTGAGAGTAAAATTTGTATGCTTCATTAAGATACAATGCTATAAATCACACATGTGCGTACACACACACACACACAGAGCACACTCGCACAGAATTTTGAGGCAGAAATCTTAAAGGCTTCTTTTTATGGAATCCTCTTTGTTACAACTTCTAGCCTACTGAGAGTAGACCTGGAGTTGGAGTTTACTATTCTTTTCCTACCTCCTACCCCTCGTCTGAGCTATAGATGCCTATATCCAACTGTCTGTGAAATCTTCTGATCTCCACTCTGATGCCTGCTCATTCCTTACTCTTCTCCAACTTGAAAAATGATATACCCGTCTGCCCAGTTTCTCAAACCTTGGTTGCTCTCTTCCTTTGTCCTGTCTGAGCCACCCATTCAATTTCAGACTGAACTCTGATGATTTTCCCTCCCAATTTCATCTGGGTCCTGATTCACACCATCCCCATTATTATCATCTCAGCCCAAGTCACCATTTTTCCCCTTTCCGTTTTTGTCTTCCTCCCTTACAATCCTTTCTTCACACCACAACCAGAGTTACCTTTCTGAAAAGTAAATCAAATTGTTACTCTCCTGCATGACTCCCTCATCTTGCCCTTAATGGTCGCCCAGTGAACTCAGAATAAAATCTACACATCTGACTGTGGCTGCACCCTCTCACTCACTCAGTGGCCCATATCTCTAGGAGACCATGTCCCTTTCTTCTCTGGAGCTTTTGTATTTTTTGCCCCGACTATCAGGAAGACTCTTCCCATCCAATTTCAACTCAGCTGTTGCTTCTTGCCATTCAGATTTCAGCTGTCACCTCCTCAGGAAGGCAGATCCTGATCATCAACCTAAAGGAGTGCTCCTGCTGGGCACGGTGGCTCATGCCTGTAATCCCAGCACTTTGGGAGGCTGAGGCGGATGGATCACAAGGTCAGGAGTTCGAGACCAGCCTGGACAAGATGTTGAAACCTCATCTCTACTAAAAATACAAAAATTAGCTGGGCGCAGTGGCATGCACCTGTAATCCCAGCTACTCAGGAGGCTGAGGCAGGAGAATTGCTTGAACCTGGGAGGCGGAGGTTGCAGTGAGCCAAGACTGTGCCATTGCACTCCAGCCT